TGTAAGCAAGACATGAGAAGTAATTCTTCTGCTCTACTCCACACTGATTAGACTCAACTGGAGTATTGTGTCCAGTTCTGGGCGCCACATTTCAGGAAGGATGTGGACAAATAGGAGAGAGTCCAGAGAAGAGTAACAAAAATGATTAAAGGTCTAGAAAACATGACCTATGAGGGAAGATTGAAAAAAATGGGGTTTGTTTAGACTGGAAAAGAGAAGACTGAGAGGGAACATAAGTTTTCAAGTATGTAAAAGGTTGTTACAAGGTGGAGGAAGAAAAATGTTTTTTATCAACCTCTGAGGATAGGACAAGAAGCAATGGGCTTAAATTGCAGTGAGGGAGGGTTAGGTTGGACATTAGAAAAACTTCCTGTCAGGATGGTTAAGCACTGGAATAAATTGCCTAGGGAGATTGTGGAGTCTCCATCATTGGAGATTTTTAAAAGCAGGTTAGACAAACACCTGTCAGAGATGGTCTAGGTAATACTTAGTCCTGCCACTAGTGCAGGGGACTGGACTAGATCAGTGGCTCTCAAAGCTGGTCCGCCACTTGTTCAGGGTAAGCCCCCTGGCGGGCCGGGCTGGTTTGTTTACCTGCCGCGTCCGCAGGTTTGGCCGATCGCGGCTCCCACTGTCTGCGGTTCACCGTTCCAGGCCAATAGGGGCTGCGGGAAGGGTGTCCAGCATGTCCCTAGGCCCATGCTGCTTTCTGCAGCCCCCATTGGCCTGGAACAGCAAACCACAGCCAGTGGGAGCCGCGATCGGCTGAACCTGTGGACGCGGCAGGTAAACAAACCGGCCTGGCTGCCAAGGGCTTTCCCTGAACAAGTGGCGGACCAGCTTTGAGAACCACTGGACTAGATAACCTCTCGAGGTCCCTTCCAGTTCTGTGATCACTGAATGTTTGGCAAGTTGGAGGAACCATGGGAGTTGGAATGTTTCTCAGCTTCTTAGGGTGCAGAAGCAGGGAACAGCCATAACGTGGAAGATATTGGTGGTAGGATGTAAACAAAGGAGAGGAGAAATGTCAAAAGGAATGGTCTGAAGAATTAACATCAGATACTAAGCCTGCAGTTCCATATCAGAATTCAGAAAAGATCCAGCAGGGCTTTCACTGAGATGCAAATTGTGAGGGGGCTCCAACAGAAAATTGAGCTCATTCTTGTGCAGACGTAGCCCTTGCCTTGACAGAATTGTGGCTACATTAGCATCTTGCCAAAAGAAATACACTAGCCCCAATTAGTTTGTATGAAATGGAGAAGATTTCAGCCAACCTAATTTTTAATGGCATGCTGTGCTTCCCAGGCTGCTGGGATCAAGATGGCACTTTGCATCTTGGGACCTGCCATCTCCACAGGCAGCATTAGAACTAAAGATGCACAGGGCAGTGTTGTAGATATACCTGGCCTGTATTTGGTCAATAGAACCGACTTTGCAAACCCCTTTCCAGAGGGCATTGGAGAATTACCAGCACCTTGAAGTTTCCCTTCTCCCATGCATCAAAACCATCCTGAAAACACAAATGTTTCGTTCACTCGAATACACTGTGTATAACAGGAATGATGAATATAGTGCCCCACATTAAGAGCAATTCTAGCATGACAGACTTAACTAAGTGCACCTCTAATTAGCACTGCACCACCAGATCTTTCTCTGGCTATGATCCTGCTGACCCATGACCGCTCTGGCAACACCTGCATCCACTTCTCTCCAGTCAGATGTCATCAGATTGATGACAGAGTTGCTAATGGAAAGAACTGTTGATTAATTGATTCCAGGAATAAGCAGGTGGCATGGTACTCACACTCCTGGAAAGACAAACCATCTAACTTAGAGAGAGAGCCAAATTTATCTCTAATGTAACTCCAACTTCAGCAAAATTACTCCAGGGGTGAATTGGGTCCACTATTTTTAACTCACCCACCTGGTTATCATTTATCTCAGAGATACTGATTTTCCAGTGCTGGCTTGTGATGGGAGCACCCAGTCATGTCTCTCACGGAGTTTTGACTACTTTCCAGATAATAAATGATATTAAATAAAAGTGGGTTTAAACATAAGCAGCTCCCCACTAGCCACCTCCCTACAACCCACCCAATACTTTATCATCATTCCCCTTAATCTGTGGCCCATCTGACGCTTTTCAATGTGTCAATTTTTATGGACAAGTTTCATTTGCATGCTTTACTAATATCTAGATATTCCAGGTACTGCGTTTCCTGGGGCTCGTCATTTTGTGCTTTGTGTGATTAAGTCTCTCCAGAACTATTTTTATAAATAAAAACTTGCCATATTTATTACTTATGGTTCCATTATCCTCTAGGGATGCAACTACACTGAGACTTTTAGCCAGTTCTCCCACTCTGTCTAGTATCTGTACCACCACACCAAAACTAGCAAAAGTGGGAGACTGACCACTTCCATTCTTACCAACCTGTCTTCTAAGCCTGCTCAGAGTAGGTCTAGTTAACATGGTGTCAAAACCACTGGGTGACCAGTCTACACTAGTGCTCCTACTTTTTCAAACACTGCTGGAAATGCTCAAGGGCTAGAGAAAGGGTTGGAGAACTGCCTTAAATTCTAGGCCTCTGCTCAGATTCTCACTATAATTGTATTAAGGGACTGTAGCTAGTTTTACTGGTTGCAACTACCAGGATTACTTTTTTCCTCCTTTTGTGTCCCCCCATGTGCTGTTTGTTGTTTTTTAAACTCTTGGTTTCCTCCCCAGTTCTCTAAGACTCCCACTCATTGATTCAGAAAGTTAATTAACTAGTTCCCTTTACACCCTGAGATACAGATTATTCAGAGCATTTGCTTAAGTATGTGTTCATTTTCGAAGTACTCTTCCCTGCTTTTTATCAAGTCATTGTTCAAGATTCTCATGACTAAATTGTCCAAACCTCTTCTTTATTAAAGCCAGATTTAAAACAATTCAGTATCTCAGTTGCTTTAGAATCACCATTAATTTCACCTTTTCCCCATTGTCTTTCCTGCTACTATTTTCACTTTTCATATACTTGTAAGCCTTCTTGTTCTCCACTACTCTAGCTAGCTTATTGTATTCCTTTTATTGCCCTTTCCTTTTGCTTGTAAGCCTTAACCTTCTGGAGTTTCTTTCCTCTCCAGTTTTAGCGTGCGTGCTCCCAAAGAACAACTCAATGGTTGTGTGTGTTGTATTTTTGTGTGTCCCATTTGCACAAGGCCCACATGTGGCAGGTACAATTCAAGTCTCTGAGCAATTGCGTCTGGTGATTTCCAGACAACCAATGCTAAAGTGTGGGAAAGCAAGTTAGTGAGCACCACCCAGACACCAAACAAGGAGAAACAGGATACATTTCATTGTATCACTGAAGGATACTAGATGAAAGCTCTGGTCTTCATGGATCAGTCTATCCCAAAGCCTCCCACCTTGATAGCTGTGAAAACACAGTAGAATTTCCATTAAATGCAGACTCCATCAGGACTCTTGGGGTTACTTTCTCCAGCAGATCTTTGAACAGTGTTTCATGAAACTATACTAGTTGCTGCTTGTTATTTGCATTCTTCTCTCAGCAGCACTGTTGTGTATTAATTAGAGTGCTTTTTAGGATTCCCCAACTTTCTTGTACACTAGCAGATTTTAATATTTCCTCCCAGTGCTCTTTATTCACTAGATTTCTTCATTCTCCACAATTTGCTTTCTTGCAATCTAACTCCTGTGTTCAGCAAATCCAAAGAATACTTCCAGGCTTTCTGATTTCCTGGTGTGTTTCTCCCTTTCTGGAATCCACAGACAGCCATGCATGACCCCTGAGGTGGAGAAAAATTATCATCTCTGTCTTACAGATGGGAAACAGATGTTCAGAAGAGAGTTAAGGGATGTACCAGAGCTGGGAGTTGAATGCCAGGACTGTTGATCCCAGGCTTGTGTGCCAACCACAGGGCAAGATTCCCAGCATCCCCAAACCTGGGTGAAGCCTTCCCCAATTCAGAGCCACTCATACATATAACACAACTGTGAAGGACCATTTTCAAATAATTTATTAGGAATTTAAAACTGAAATCTGGAAAAAGGGTTACAGGTGTGGAGAGAACAAACATTGGAGTGTAATAACTTACTGGCTTCAAAACATAGTTTTATTTCGTTTTAAAAAATGCCCACCCTCAAACTGGAGCCCCAGCCTCTGGGCAGCAGCAGCACTGGCTGGAGAGCGAATCACAGCCCAGTGGCAATACAGTGGGGCTGGGAGGTACATGGAAGGGGGCACAGAAGCAGCTCAGCGCATGTACCAAGAGGGAAGAAAGCACTGTCTGCAGACCCAAATTTGAAGTATACAGAATAAAAATAAACCCCATACAATGCAGCTCTTCTTTAATTAGGAAATATTAAAAAAACCCAGACATAGACTCTTGTCTCAGTAACAAAAATTATTGCTTTGTGTTTTCAGTACTAACCCATTAAGTACCTCTTACTAAACAGAACTCTCCAGATGTATTGCTTGGTCAGGCATGGCCCATGCTGCTCGGTCTCAAGACTAGCCACAATGCAGCAAGGGAAGCGGGAAGTGGAAGGGAAGAAGGGGTCCATTTGGGCCCTGTGGCCTCCCTCCAATCCTCTCACTTACTGGGGCTCATTTTGGGAGAAGAGCGGGAATGATTTTTAAAACTTAAGATGAAGCTGCATTATTTCCCTGGGGAAAGCATTGGGCTGCATCTTAATAAAAGGCTTAATCACCCCCTCCCCCCCCAACAAGGTCTTTGGTTCACTTAAATCCAGACCCAAACCTGCCCCTTAAATCCCTGCTTGAGGCAACCTCACAGCAGAGGCCACTTGTTAAGAAGGGCTTGGGCAGCCTCAGGAGAAGGGACCATATAATCAAATTACAGGACAGAGGATGAACTCCCACAGATTTCAGGACACAGAGGAAAGCAAATGGGAAGCTGTGATTCTAGAATTCATATGATCCCTGAGAAGCCCTTTACTCACCCTTCCCCCATACATTACCACCCCCAGTTAATGACTTCCCCCACCCAATGCCCTGCCCTTCAGAGAATGACCACCCCCACATCTCACCCCTGACAATGAGCCCTTCCCAATACCCTGCCCCCTAAAGGATGATGCCCTTCCCCAGACCATCTTGACACAAGTGATACTATTTGGAGAGTCAATTCCTTTCAAAATAACAAAGACAAGCAGAGACAGTAAAGCCCTTTGCCTAGCCAAACCAGATGATGTACTTAGGGAGCCCATACATCAGGCGACTGGAAGCCGCTTTAACCCGCTCAGCAAAATAGCCGATAGCCGGTAAGTTTCATTCCCCTCTCTCCCCCCTTCATCTCAGAGGTCTTAAAATCTTACAGTAAAAGGTGTACAAAAAAGAAAGGAGTCCTGTCAGGATTCTGCTGGAGAATATTGCTCACACTGAGGTGCCAGGTTCAGGAACCTTGAGTCAGGCTGCAGCCAGGTTCACCTCGCGATATTTACATATTATACACTAGGAAAAAGCAAACCCCACGTAAAACTAAATCTAGGAAAACAAAAATACTTTCAGCTGTAAGGGTAGTGTTTTTACTTAGCAAAATATACATTTTGTTTTGTTCCATAGCGATGTCCCACCGTTTCAGATCCTTGGAGCTTCACACATTTCAAAACCTCACATTTACAAAACAGAAACAATTAAAAACAGTTTCTTTAAAAAAAAAAAAAAAAGAAGAAGAAATGCATCAGTTCTGCTCAGCCTTCTCTCTCTCTGCATCTCTCTTCCCTTCAGAACTGCGTTCACATCACAGACTGTCCTTTAAAAATGTTGACAACAGAGTTGAAAAAATTCAAAACAATTTCAAAGCCAAATAAAAATACTCCTCATTAAAAACTACCTAACACGATCACAAAGCCAATTCATAAAATATGTCTACTAGCTCAGGAAAGAGCAAACAATGAAAAAGAGGGTCACCCCCCAAAAAATAAAGATAAAAAAATAAAATAAAAAATAAAACTACCAGCTAATAAAATAAATAAAGAAGAATCGGGGGGTTGGGGGAGGGAGAAGCGTAAACCATCGGTGGTTAGTAAGAAAGCGAGATGATCTCCTTGGGTTCAGTCCAGTGTGGTCTGTTCAATGGGAGAGATCAGGGCAGGTCAGCAGGAGCCTGGCAGCCAGCCGGCAGTGTGCAGTTTTATTCAATAAAAAGGAAACCTTGGCTCATCCCCCAAGGCTCACCAGATCCTCCAGCCCGCTGTCCTTGGTTAGGTCACTGGGGAAATCTGCAGGAGACCAGCAGAGGTGGGGGGTACGGGGGGTAGAGGAGACAGAAACAAACAAAAGAAAAACTAACATCCTTTCAGTTTTTTGTCTTGTCTGACACAGGAACAGGGGGTGTCCAAACTTCCCACAATGCAGGATTGTGCTGGCACCTTGGTAGTGGCATGAAGATTGCACCTGATTGGCAAAGAAGCGGGGCAGAATGCAACTGCCCCTATCTTTAACATGAAGGGGTGGGCTAAAGGGACAAGCCCCAGCATGCAGTGCAGCCTGACTTCTTGGATCAAGGAGTACTGCATGCCAAGATCTGCGGGCTCCCTGGGTCAAACTTCTTTAGTAAAGACGAGGCTAGTTATACGCTGCAAACTGCACTCAAGTTATCCCTGGTTGAAGAGAAGCAGCCCAGTCACACCCTTTCCCTGGAAACATCTGCCCTACTCATTTCAGTCACATTTCTCTTTTTAAACTACCAAACTTCTGCCACTTTTGAGGTGTGCACCAAGACCCTCGAACAGCTCCCCCTCACCCCGTTCTCAGGGACACAGCTGGAGCTGCGTGTATGATTTTCCCCATACCCATCTGGATGTGGAAGCCTCTTTTCTCCCACAGACCACCTCCATGGAGAGGAAACAGCACTCCAGAGATGCAGTGCTCTCAGCAGCAGTGAGATTTGCTGAGTTAGCTGCACTCAGGGTACTGCAAAGTAAAGGGTAGGAGGGGCTTGTGTGCGAGAGCTCACATTGCCTTAGGATTTTGGCCAACTGTGCCTGTCTATTTTCTGTCTCCGTCAACTCCCCTATTTCTACCAGGTCTCCATGCTATCCTCTCCATTTCCCTCACTCCACACCCTTCCAACTGTGGGCTTCCCCTTCTCCCTGCTACCACTGGGGCACAGCCACTTATTCTTCTGGCCTCAGAGACCTGGATGAGCTTCCCTTTAGAGCCCAACAGTGACGCTCTAACTGGCCAAAGAGGTTACTCAAGCAAAACACCATTTCCTGTCCCTTCCTGCCCACACTCAATGGAATGCCTCTGCAGCACTTCAAGCTTGGGGAGCAGAAGTCTGGGACAAGGAATTAGAACCTGGGTCACTGGGTGGACAGGACAGAATGCAGCCCCTCGCCTGGCCTCCTTGCTCTCATCTTCAGATGAAGCCTCTGAACGTTGGCCCAACCAATAGGAAACTTTCAGTGTAACTTAATAATAAAATCCCCTCCTGAGCCTAGCTTCACTCCTCTCACACCTTCCCAACCTCTCTTGTTCAAACATCTTACCTCCTGCCTCCTTGGTCGCTAGCTTCAATGGTACCCATTGGTAAAAGCCGTTGCAATCAAGGGACCCTACAGAGGAAGAATTCAAATCCCCCGATTAGACAAACCAAAGGAAAGAGGTTGAGTCCATGAATGTGATTTGTCCATCCGTCCCTTCCCTTGTAGGAATTTATTGGGATGTCAGTGACACAGCTCCCTAAAAGTACTATTCCTAAGGACAGCCCTACCCCCTTTAGAGATCTGACTGGAATCATTTAGCCCCCAATGCACTCTGAGGAGGCCTCTCAGCACCCTGAGATTTACATGGAGTGATACAACCCTCATACTATCTCCCACTCAGGAAACATGCCATCACTAGTCCGTCTCTTCCGAGCCACCTAATATCCCCCAGCAGAGTCCTATGGAATCCCCAGTCCTTTCCCAGCTGTAGTCCCACATTCCATAGGGAAACATGCAGCTAGCAGATATTTGCTCTGCACTCTCCCCATCCCTGTCCAGCCTTGTGTTATTCCTGGGGACCCATGTACGTTCCACCTTTGGAAGGGAGTTCTGTGTTTCATTCTGACAGTGAGAATAGTTGTGGTCTTTCTGAACACTTACAGTGGTGAGCTCAGTCATGGCCCAGCTGCTGGGAAAGCTGTTTCCACTGCTCACAAGTCTCACTGTTGAGGTGCTAGTTCCATGAGCCCAGAGGAAGGTGGCTGGCATGGCAGGCTATGTGGCAGAGTGAGGTAACTGGCCCTTGGGTAGCTTGAGCCAGTTCTGCGGAGGGCTTTGAAGAATGGGACCAAGCCCTAGCACTTAACTTGGTATTCAATGGGGACCAGTGTAGAGCAGAGTTTGGGGTGACATGCACTCAGCAGCCTGTTCTGTAAGCTAAGTAGGCTGCTGCATTAGGAACGAATTGGGGCCTTAAGCTCAGTGTTTTTATGCCTAGGAACTGTATATTGCAGTAACCAAGCCTCGAGGTTGCCTGCAGCGGTTGTCATTTGGGTATTCATAGTTGTAGAAATCACCATCCCAAAAGGTTTAATGATTTATACACACCCCACCTCCTTCTACCCCCCAAGCTCAACAGCTGGGTGTGAAACACTCACCCCTAGGCTGTGACCAAAGCCAGTACTTGGAGCTGGACTCGCAGCACTGATGTAACTGCTGACCCCTGAATCCTGATTGGCTGCTCCGTAGAGCTCTGCCATTGGCCCAGGACTGGTAGTGCCCAGAAACCCACCAGTGCGGCTCGGAGTAGAACCTAAGGGAGGAAGCAAAACTACATGGTGAAGATCCCAAAATGCAACCCCGTCCCACCCCCCTCTCATGGCCCAGTGCAAACCTCAGCCAGGTTGCTTCCCCGGGTAGGAAAGTGGCAGTTACCTGTCCCTCTCACTACAGCTGCTGCTGCCGCCGCCGCCGCCATCGGCCCATATGCAGTAAGGGGAATTGCTGGAAGAGAAGGAACAGGCCTTTCATAGCGGCACCAAGGGACGCTCCTGAGCAGGCACCTTCCCTTCCCTCCAGGGAACAGCTGCCAAAAAGGTGCATGAGCTTGGCACGTTACCTGCTACACTCAGGATAGATACGCAGGAGGAACACACAGCCCTGCATTTACAGGACAGCTTTCATTTAGAAAAGCCCTCAAGCAACTGAACTGACCAATTCCGGCATAGGAAACTTTTCGTTCAGGACTGAAACACAGTGACATCTGGGGTGACGCTGCCAAACCGCAACGCCACATGCCAACTCAGGACAGGAAGTGACTGAGAATCCCATAGCCAGGTGAACCGGCATGGGGAATTTAGGATGGCTATTGGCATTTGGCTCCAACCCTAAAGGCTAACACCCCAACTCTGGGGATTTTTGGTGGGCACAGAGGGTCAGTAGCTTGGTTTGACATCTCATCCAGAAGACAACTCCAATGCTCAGCATTCTCCAGCCATGCTGGGGCACAGCACCCTTCTCTAGCACCTTCCAACAGTAATGGTTCAATACTCACGCAACCTCCTCCACCCCAGATCTCACACGGCTGCAGACATGCAATCCTCCCTACTTTTCCAGCTCTCCTGCCAACTGCAACCCCCCGGCTGTCCACTCTAGAAGAGTGTGGAGCATGCGCCTGGCAGTGCAGAAGCCGGAAAAGGCACAATTAACACTGGAAGCCTTAACTTTTATGTATCAAATGTCGTCCATATTTCTACTGCCATGGGTGCCCAGCCCTGAAGCCACAAGGCACCTACGCAGTACTCTTCTCATTTCCCCTAACATGACTGGGTCAGCATTTCATGCTCTACTGCGAAATCCACTGTGATTCTGTTTAGAGCAACATAAAGAGGTCAGAACAAATCGATTGAGTTAAAGGGCTGAAATCCAGACTAGCTCGGGAGGGAATGTTTAGTTGCAGGCTTTGTCTGGTTTCAGGTGTACATCACACTGGGGGCTTAGATTTGGGTTAGTGGCTTATCATAGGTCTTCAGCAAACATAAGCACAGAGCGGACAGTATTTTTCTCCCAAAGATGCTGTTGTGGTGAGTAAAGGGCCGGTTTTGCTGAGAAAGAACCCAATTTCCTCTGTAGGAAAAATATTTTTGCCTTGTAGTTTATCTAGTTAGAAACCAGACTTCTGCCTTGCCCAGGAAGCTCCCCTCTCATTAGCTCTTTCATACAGGAGCAGCACCCGAGACTTTCAGAGAACCACCCTTCTTGTTTCAGTTGTACTCAATACAGCCCCGGCTGATGGTTTACATTTATAGAGCCACGTTCAGCCAGAAGGTTCCTGAAGCACTTCACAACCTACTGGCCTGGTCCTGCAATGTCCTCCGTTCCCCCGGATGTCTCAGCAGGAGCTGCGGGAGCACATACCTCATGGGAGCAAGCCCAAGGCGTGCACATGAATCAGAGCACCCACCACCACAAGCTGCCCGGTGACTGTTTAACAGCCCACAGCAGCAAAGTGAGGAATACCCCCGTCTCCAGCTGAAATTCTGGAGGGAATCTAGGGACAGAGGTTGTAATTACCCAACATGGCAGCTAACCAGGACACCAGCATTAATAGTTCACTGCTGGCAAAAGTACCAGTCTCTAATGAGCTTCAGTGAGCAGGACTTCTGTTTTATGCTCCTCCAGCAGCAAGGTGCCTCTTCACACCCTGCAGGGGCACTAGTCCCACGTGGACTTAGAGGGAAGAGCACCTTTTACTGAGTTATCCACACTACTCTTGCAACACCCATTTTTTTCTGGGAAGCCCCCTATTCAAATACAGACGCAGTCCAACCCTACTCTGTTTGGGAACTGTCAGAATCACAGCCACAGGTGGAATTTCAGAGGCTTATTCAACTATATATGTGGCTCCAGGGGATGGCTTTATTAACTTAATACACCCCACTTCCCTCTGAGTAATTTGTTTTACCAACCTCAGCGTTCTTTGACGTGCACACTCTAGGAGGATCAGCACTATTCTGAGCCATTGGAAAACTCCCCTTCCAATCCTCCCCAAACCCACTGCGGCTAGCAAAGCTTCCAAAGAATAAGCTCCCTGCAGAAGTCTGTATCCTCACTGCAGGAAAATCCAGTCCTTGAAAAAACAGATGGCGTCAAGGAAGTGTCAGAGTGAAAGGATGTTATGGAAGATGGGATGGTGTATAGGGAGGAGGAGGCCAGCCCACTGCTAGACATAGCTGCTTTTCTAAGACAAATACCATGCATGCTACAGAGCTTGGGAAAATGTGGCCATGGAACAAAGATCCTATGGAAAGAGCAGCACCAAGAATACATGCTACACAAACTCAGAGGTCTGAGGAGCTGGGGGAAGAAGCAGGTGTTTATACTTTGCGGAAATACTCAAGACTCCTGACTAGTCTTTGCAAAACTTCATCACCCCCCCTTCTATTACACCATGCTCAACCACCACCACTGATGAGTACAGCTGGGAGCTCCACCACACTCAATGTTCCTCTACCATTCTCTGCCTAGCGAGCCTGGGGCTTAGGTAGCAGTGAGCTTCACCATACCCAGTGCTGAAATATCATTCCCTACACTAACTCCCAGGCGGGATCAAAGTAGCTGCAAGCTCCCCCAGGTCCAGTGCCCTGCACTACAGCAGCTCAGGCTGGGACTGGAGTAGTGGATTTCTTAGAATTCACATTACTAGCAACAAGGTTTTCATAAATGATTCGGAGGCTAACTGCTGGATAAGGAGCGAAAACAGAGCAGGGAACAGCAGCAGTTCAGAAGCTAGAGAATCTGGGGATTCAAGCCCACTTGCCCTCATCATGTAAGACCTGCATCTCTCATCTCCTCCAATGTGATATGCATGGTTCAGTTCCCCTCTCCACCCCTCGCCCCCAGCCCCTGTTCTTGATGTAGCTAGTGCAGATGGAAGAGGAAATGAGGAACGTTTCCAGTCTCACTGCGCCAAGCTATGGGGCAGCGACATCACTGGAATAACCCAAAGCCCCTTCTCCCCTTCCAGCTTGTGAGTTTTAGGAAATCAGCGGGACTGACCTGTGAGCTCGGGGAGGACGGGGGCACTCGGGAGAGGGGTCCGCTCTACACGGAATTCTAAAAACGAAATGTAAGACAACTTAGGAACTTGTAAAACGCCCCCGAGGGGGATCTGGTAGAGAGACAGCAGCATTGGGCCTTTCTGGATAGAACACAAGGCCAGACAGAGAGGGATGAAGTCACTGCAGCATCCAGCCTTTGACTCTTTATTTTAAATGAATTTTGAGCTGGACTGACAGCATGCGAGACTGAAAGCCTCTGCTTACCCCCAGAACAGGTACAGCCCAGGCAAGGGCAGTGGAAGCCGCCCAGACTGTGCGCCTCAGGGTTGAAAAGGGGAGTTCAGTCTCTTTGGCCCAGCCAATCCTTGGCCTCGCAGCTAGGACTGCCAACAAGTGCCAGTTGAGCTGGAGGTGGCTTTGTGATATGAACACCTGGTTCGCTAGGACTGAGACCCAGCAACTGGATTCGCACAGACTACCAGACAGCAACTTTCAGTCGCCGCCAACGCAGGGGGGGTTCCGACTAGCAGCTTAGAGGTGAAAGCTGCCAGAGCCCGTTGCCAATCGCCTAATGTCAGGCCTTCTACACAGTCTATTGGGGATGGGGGGCAGAGGAGGGCAGGGGACACTCAGAGTTGCCACTTGTCCCGAGAACAGCAGGGCAGTCTTTTATAGGGTAGCCCTGCATCCCACTCTTTGCTTGTGCAGGCAGGGGAGGGAGAGGAGGCCAGCAGAAAGCTCAGAGCAGCTACAGTGCATTCATCAGGGATCAGGCAGTGATGGTCACATCTGGGCTTCAAGACAAGGAATGGGACAGCTAGGGGAATTTACTAATATGCAGTGTTGTGAAGAGGGGTTTGCTGGGCCTCTAAGAGATCCAGGATACAGCTCACTGCAACTTAGACTCTCACATTTAGGAGGCCTAGGGAACTTCAGGCCCATTTAAAGCTAGCAGGGGTCAAGTCCTGCACTCTGTTTTCAGAAAGGTGGCGACTCTGGCGGAGAGACAGATGCACACACACACACACACACACACAGAGGCAGCAAGACCAGCAGAGCTGCAAGGCCCCTTCTGTGTAATAGCAGCCCCCACAGAGGAACCTAGCCGAGAGGGGGGCGCATGAACCTAGGACATTTCCTGTCACTGGAGTGAGAGGATAACAACAGCAGACACTCACATGGCTACAGCCTCCTTCCTAACTAGCCAGTAGGCGGTTCCCACCTATTCCAGGCCTCTGTCCCCTCCCACCTTCACAGTTTTAAAGAAAGCCCAAACTAGGGCAAGGGTAAAACAGGCAGAGATTCGGTCACATGCCACAGGCTTCCCTTAGTGTGAGGACAAACTGGATGACTGGGCAGGAAGAGGCACTTACCAGGAAACTGATAAGTGTAGCCAGGCGCAAGGCCCGTGTAACTCCGACTGGCATAAGTGGCAGCTTGGAAACCTGGATAACCTGCCAGCAGAGAAGAGGGGATTGTTACACGAACGCACACAATGCCACTTTCCAGTCCCAGCTCTGCCTGCCTCCCCATAGCCTGAACAATGAACACACACTATGAAAGGACCAAGTAACATAGCAGTTGAACAACACACGCGTGCGCACACAGTGCATACCGTGCAGGAATTTGGGGAAGAATTTTAATGGAATTTTAATACATTGCCCCTTCGTGGTTCCAGACATTGTTACCCTGCAAAGACATGTAGATTTCCCGGTCAGAAAGCTCAAGGTCCCACAAACTAAAGCACTAGCTGGTTTTGTGAAAAGGGGATCTAGAGACAGTGGGAGCATATGGATGACTGACTGGTACTAAATCACCCATCATCTACTTTCGTAATAGAGGCTGCTGACTAACATTCTGAAGTAGATACAAAAAAAACAGGTGGCTGAAAACATGCAGGCAGATAGCCTGTTCCTGGCACAGATCACTATTACAAGTCTTCCCATTTCCTGAGAAGCTGTCATAGCTAATCACCTACTTTAAACAGTCCCATGAGAAAGCCAGCAGCTGACTAAGAACTGAATGTTTGATTTGAGTTCTCCCATGACAAGTGTACATGGATTTCCCACTGACTCATTTGAGTCTGCTGGTTTAAAATTACAGTTCTACTCAAAAAACACAAAAACTAAAATCTGAAGTGGCTTTGTGGGGTTCCAGATCTATTTTATCTCAGCAACTCCAGTGAGAATGTGATGAGTGCAAATGCAAAAAAGAGGTGTTTTTCCTCTGCCTGCCAGCCCAACCAACCCAAGCTGGGATCCAAGTGCCAGGTTGAATGTTCCTCCTCCAGCACCACCCACAGGGGCCCTGACCCAAAGGACACTTGTGTTTGTTCACCTTAACCACACCTACAGGTTGGATGGGCTCGGGTTGCTGGTGATGCTCAAGCAAGAAAGAACCAAGTTTGACTCTCAGACCCTAAAAGGAGCTAATTGGGCTGGAAGTCGGAGGGGACGATTCACACCTTTTCCTTTGTAACCTGAACACATTTGCTCTGAAGTCACAGAGAAAAGGTCCCCACAGTGCCACACACAGACACTCCTTTGTCAGAATGGCCCGTTTGATTTCCCTAAAGGAGGGAAGTCAGTGGTATACAGGCTCCACTGGATTCTCAAGAACATTTTTATCCCCCTTGAAAACAAGGAGACTGTTTATTAGGATGCTACACAGAGAACATGCTCTGCCTGTGTATCTGAAGTGATACTCTCCTCTTTGCCCAACAGAAGAAGGGTGACTAATACTACTGGGGGCTCCTGAAGCAAACATTCATTGTAAAGTCTGGCCTAGCATGGCAGGAATATACCTGGACGTGGAAAACTCTGCTTTTGGCTCAGTTGTGTTGCCAGGGCATATACAGCCCTTTTTTTGTGCCGAAGCATAGTGTATATCCTGTTCTATAGGTATTATATTGGACAGGAATTCCAATTACGCCTTAAAATTCCTCCCAACACAACTGCATTCCTGTTTTTTGTGTGGCCCCACCTCTAGAACTGTGCATACGAGGTACATCTACAGTTCTTCCATGCTGCCACCAGAGGGCGATTTGTGATCATACATTGATCCCAGCCCTCCTCCTCCTAGCTTCAGTGTTGCTTTTCAAAATGGGGTCTGATGTCATAGATCCAATTTCTTCTTGAACAGCCTGAGCCACCTCCCCCATTGTCTTACACCTAGAAACGCAGTCCCAGAATAAAGCCTTCTGCCCCAAGCAGAGCCCCCTGCTGCTGCCGCCAATTATGATGTGGGGGCTAGAGAGAAGGGTTCTCTTTTGCAGTGCTTACCCAGCATGCCAATCCCAAGCATGAAGGCATCCATCCCATAAGGCATCACTCGGGACCGCCCTCTCGCAGAGCCAGTGGGGGACATCACTTCCTTTGGCTGAGCTTTTTTACATTCCACCTGCCACAAGAAAAAAAAAAAAGTGTTGGACCTCGGCCTTGACTTGCACTGCACATTTGCTCGGAGCACATACCGTACTGCGGGCCACGGGCCAGAAGGGCTGCCTTATTGCATTGGAACCACTGCGCCTGTTCTGCCCCACGCACCACTCCCCAACCCTGCCTCCCATTCTGCAGCCACTAACACTGCCTGCAGCCTCCCCCGCCCTGTTACTCTGCTAGAGAAGCAGCATTATTGAGTAGTTAAAACAGGTGACTAAAATTCTACCCATGGTTCTGTCCTTGACTTTCTCTGTGACTTTCGGCAAGACAACCTTGGAGCCTCAGTATCCTCATTTGTTAAAAGAAGATACCTGCCTCGCAGGGCTGGGGAGAAGTTTTGCTAACACTTGTACAGCACTCGGGGTCACAAAGTTACAATTCCACGTTATGGTTAGACTGCATTGCCTTTTGGGCTCCAAATACCAGCAGTCATTCCCCTCCTTGTTGAGTATCTCCTCCCTAGATCTGGGGCAGTGATTTCAGGGGTCCCATCTGCTTCCTACCTGCAGTCCCAGAGCCCTAGTGCTTTGCCCCATCCTTCCACTGCCGGCTTTGCAGTTCACACTCACCATTTTGTTATTGATCTCATGGAAGTGGATCTCACACACCTTCTCCACAATATCTTCACTCTCAAATGTGACGAATCCAAACCCTGAAGAAAGGGCAACACTTCCTGGTCAGGGCAGAACGCTGTGTGATCAGTACCTGCCAGTCCCACATGCCCAGGAGAGAAGGCAACCCAGAGGTTCCTGGGGTGGACCAGTTGGGTCATGGCAATACTTCCACTCCCCTCTGGCCTCCAGTAAGTCCTGCATGCATGCAGCACTCATATGAGGAGCAGGGAAATCACTGACCTCTCCCAGATTTCCCTCTCTCCTCATCTCCATTTCTGCACCTTCCCGCTTCATTAAAGCCCATGGCACTTAGATGGCTTAATGACGGATACCACAATAGAGGGTTCCAATCCAGCAGAGGTCCATATGAACAAAACTGTTTCCTGCCAATGCTGTTCAGCATGTGAAATGAGTTTGGTGGGTCCCAGTCCAGTCCCCAACAGACAGGCGCCCACATCACAAATATCACCATCCCAAATAGTGATACTCAGCACATTTCATCTTCAAAGCCCTGCCTGTACACAAATTAGTCCTTACAGCCTGTGTGTGACAGGAAAGTATCAGCATCACTATTTCTGGAGCAAAACCAAGGCATGGAAAGGTTAAGTGATTTGCTCAAGTTCACACCATTTATCAGTATCTGAGGTGGGAAACAGAACTTGGAAGTTCTTGCCTCCCAGCCCTATGCTCAGAGCACATCTCTAATGGACCCCTTTGCTGACAGTCTTGGCAAAGGACTGACTGGGCTCTGGAGTCCAAACTTCCTTTTCACAGCTAGGGGTGGCCCTTTCAGGGAAGAGCTGAGGCATGGCAGTGAGGGACTTTGAGTGAGCTTGCATTGCAGCTGTGGCTAAATGGAGCTTTCAGCCTCCAGGGCTTCTGAGTCAACTTCACCAGTGCTAAAAATCACTTTTACACACACACACACACACACACTTTTCCATTTTTCAGTATTTTCCAAGCTGGACTGGACTCTTTCTATGAGCTTCTCCTTTCTCTCCAGGTAGGCATTTATTTTGCCCCTATCATGATCTGATATCTGGGTGCCTTGGGAACTCAAGATAAGTACCCTACACTGAAGCCAAGAAGTTGCCAATACCAAACCAGATGACTGGTCTATCTGGTCTAGTATCCTGCCTCAGGCAGGGGCCAATACCTGATGGCTCAGAGGAAGGCAGTCCTCCCTACCCCTTCTGTAATGCTCTGCATAAGAATGGCCATACTAGGTCAGACCAGTGGCAGATGCTTCATAGGGAATGAACAGCACAGGGCAATTGCTGAGTGATCTGTCCCCAGTCATTAAATCCCAGCCTCTGGCAGTTGGAGGTTTAGGGACATGTGGAACATGGGGTTGCATCCCTAACCATCTTGGCTAATAGCCATTGATGGACCTATTCTTTATGAACATACCTAATTCTTTTTTGAACCCCATTATGTTTTTGGCTTTCACAACTTCCCCTGGCAATGAGTTCCACAGGTTGACTGTGCATTGTGTGAATTATTTCCTTATGTTCATTTTAAACCTGCTGCCTATTAATTTCAGTGGGTGACCCCTGCTTCTTGCATTATGTGAAGGGGTAAATAACACTTCCTTATTCACTTTCTCCACGCCAGTCATGATTGTATAGACCTCGATCATGTCCCCCATTAATCATCTCTTCTCTAGTCTGAACAGACCCTGTCTTTTTAATCTCTCCTAGTCTGTTTTTGTTGCCCTTCACTGTATCTTTTCCAATTCTAACACATCTTTTTAAGATGGGGCATGCAGTACTCCAGGTGTGAGCATACCATGGATTTATATAGTGGCATGACTATATTTTTTGTCTTATTATTTATCCCTTTCCTAATCGTTCCTAACATTTGGTTAGCTTTTTTGACTGCCACTGCACACTGAGATGTTTTAACTAACCACAATGACTCCAAGATACCTTTCTTGCGGGGTAATAACTAATATAGAGCCCATCATTTTGTATATATAGTTGGGATTATGCTTCCCAGTGTGCATTACTTTGCATTTGTCGACACTAGGTAACAAAATGGCCAATGAAATTCAATCACCCAGTTTTGTGAGAACCCTTTGTAACTCTCTGCAGCCAGTTTGGGAGGTCACTATTAGTTAGTCTCTAAGGTGCCACAAATACTCCTTTTCTTTTTGCAAATACAGACTAACACAGCTGCTACTCTGAAAACTGTAGGGAGTAATTCTGTATCATCTGCAAATGTTGGCACTTCACTGTTTACCTCTTTTCTAGATCATTTGTGAATATGTTGAACAGCATTGGGCCCAGCACAGAGCCTTGGGAAACCCTGCTGTTTACCTCTCTCCATTGTGAAAACTGACCATCTATTACCACCCTTTGTTTCCTATCTTTTAATCAGTTACTGGTCCATGTGAGGACCCTCCCTCTTTTTTCATGACTGCTTACTTTGCTCTAGCCAATTCCTGTAGAGGGCAGAGGTGCCGGATCTGATAATTTATTATGGGCTAGCCATTTCCCCCCCCATCAGGCTAGCTGGAATGGTACGTGTATAAAATCAGGCAACCAGAATCACCTAAACAGTAACAAAATGGGATGCACTGAAGGGCACCCTGGGCAGCAAGAGTGAATACGCAAGGATAGCTGGGAGAGAGAGCCACAAGCAGAAAGTGCTTCCTGTGTGAGTCTGAAGCAGACAGACACACCATGTAAGCGCTTAGTGCTGCATGTGAACATGGCCGTGGCCTAGGAAAGGGCTGCCACCATCACAGCGTAGCTGTGTCCTCAGTATGGTGCACACCATTGTGGTGTCCACCTAAGAGTCGTAGCCAGTTAGAGGGCACATGTACAAGAGAATCAGGCACCTCCAAAACTAAGGCTCAAACTCAATGCTCTCCTGCCTGATCCGAAGAGCCTGAATACCAAAGCCAGGCTCCCACTCTGTAACCAGATACCACAAATGGGATTTGATTAAAAGGTGACTTGGGAGCCCTGGGCTGAGGAAGGGGTCAGAGGCAGGCACTCTTCTGGGTCTTGCGTCAGCTTCCCCAGGGTTCGGATTGCTCAGGACAAGGTAAGACACACACAGACAACTGGAGCCACGTAGGTAGCTGGGGAGGGGAGGAGGCTGCCTCCTCTCACATATCAGCCATTCGGCAAGTTTACAACACAGGAAACGGTCTGGACAAAAGCTCTCTGTGCTGCGAGGGACTCTGTTAAAGGATGTGGATGCGAAGGGATGGGGTGATGGAAGGTGAGATAAAGAGCAGCTGTGACCTGCATGCCCTGCTGCTGGCCACAGGATACTACCTCCGCCCCATCACCACAAACATACATCTGCTCCTGTCATTACGCAATCCCCTGCCAACTCTACACACACACACAGCGCCAGGGTGCTGCCCTCACCTCGGTGTCGATTGGTTGTCTTGTCAAACATCAGCATAGCATCATCCACCTGCAAGGAGCACAAAGGAGGAAAGGGCTCAGATCAGGTTATTACTGAGAAAGACCTCTGCCAGCCCCATGCCAGAGAGAAACAAGACACCCACCTGCCCCCAAAGCAGAACATGACACAAAAAAATCAACCATTCACTTACCCTTGGGAGGCCCCCAAGTCCCGGGGCCCTGACCCAACAAGGGAACAGGATTTCCCCCCACATTAAAGCTTTCCCACTATACTGCAGGCAGGGGCTCCCAGCATGAACCAAACAGGTCCATCTCCATCCAAAACTTAGGGTGCTGGAACAGGTTCCCACCTAGCCATGCTCCTGGGGAAGGCAGGCACTTTCCTTCCCACTGAACCAGGAAGCAGCCCTGGACAATTTGCCTACAGCTCCACAGATGGGGGGTGGGGAGAGAGAGAAAGAGAGAGACTGACTGACTGTCTCGGTGTCCGTGTGCACACACCAAAGCCTGAGGAGGGGAGAAGGAATAAGGGGCCTCATAGAGATGGAAAATGGAGGCCTCAGACAACAGAGACTCTGCTTGGGGACTCTGGGAAGCCACCCCCACCCCAGAGGAGCTTTCATCTAAGAGAGGTTTCCTACTGCTGGAGGGTGTAATTAGAGCAAATTTACTACAAGGACTGAACTAGTGCTGCCTACTGAATGGGGGGAGTGGAGGCGGACACCAACCATCCCCCTCCCCCAACCCTGGAGCCACTCACCCCCTCCACCCCCTGCCCCCACCAGTGCCTGGTGCAACTTTCCTTCCCCTGCCTGTGCTCTGCTGGGTAGTTCCTTGTAGAGAAGCAAATCTGTGCAGCTCCAAGTCAGGCCAAGCAGAGTTAAAAACGCACTCCAATCCCCTCAGCGTAAACCACGATGTAAACCTGTCCCACTGACCCATGCTCCTTGCTAAAGCACTGCCTTAATCTGATTATGAAACTGGATGTGCAAGTGCTCAAGGGAGGGGCAACAGGATCTGTACAGCAGCTAGCCAGGGCCTTCCTCCGCCTCAGTCAACGACAGCCGGGAGGGACCAATGCAGCCTACGTTGCTTGGGATAAGCTATTTCTCCCTCCCCACTTACAATTCCCTGTTTTCCTCCTTCCCAGCCTTGCTCAGTGAAGGAGTCTGAGATGCTGCCTCCCGAGAAAGGGCTGGGGGTGGAACCCATCTCCACCAACCAGCACTGTCAGATGGCCAAGCCCCAGGCTTCCTTCAAAAGAGAGCTTGCAGCTGGAATGAGATGGGAGAGGGGGTTTACCAACATCCCCCTGACAAGGGGGCTCCATCCACCTCAGCTGCCAGTGAGATAAACGGGCACCTTTCTCCCATAGGTGAGATGGGAGGATGGAAGGAGGCCATTACTAAATACCCTCCACAATGTCACATGGAAAAGGGTTGTGTGGTCACTTGGGTCCCCTGAAGAACAGGGGTCACCACCCACATCTGCCAGCTCCAAAGAGCAGAATGACATACAGAGGACTCAGCTACCATCCCACGCCACACTACAGCCAGGGAACTGGGACTTGAACTTTCCCATCTAGGCCCAAGATCCATGCGGTTAGTGAGGCCAAGACCCGAGAAACTCACTAGTGATCCAAGCTGAGCGGAAGGAGTCCTAACAGTTTAGATGGAAGATAGGACAACCAACGCTTTGTCTGACACTCCGTGCTACCTGCTTCTCTCCACTGAGGCAGGTGGGAGGGGGAGTTGCCCAATGGGTGGAAATATGCTCCAGCTGCTCGCTTACACTATCTTGTCAGCCATACCCACTTTTTACAATGGTCTTTATTACTTCAGAGCTTGGAAAGGGAGGGAGCTTTCACGACTGGTGGATCCCATGGGTTAATTAAGGTTATGTGGGCCTGAGTGGGATGGAGCACAATACCATGCCCCTCTCAGTAACACCCTGAAGTCATCAGCTGCCCCTTTGCAGTGCTTGAACCCCAATCATAGCAGTTACCATCCCAAACTAAGCCTCATGTCCTGATGGAGCTAGCAGTAGTCCCCTAAAAATCAGCCAATCCCCTCCTTTGAAATCTAGTCCTCCAAAGTCAGATTGCCCACTCTGTACTCTAAAATAAGCCCCACCGGACTAGTAAATGTAAAGACATTTACAGTCTCAAAACAACTATCCCCTACATGAACGCTATAGCAGTGCCCCAAAACTCAGCCAACTCCTGCACCCTTTCAATATCTTGAGCCTCCCATCCAGGAACTCTAGGATCAAACAAAATCCCGTTAGGACCTGGACCATTTTATATACCAGCACAAATGCACTTTTAGAGTATCAATAGAAGTGTACACAGATAAATAACAGTTCAAAACACAGCAAAATGGATTCCTCAGACTTTCACCTCTCGAGACCCTGCGTCACATCTTTCCAATATAATAGGCTAAATAAGTTTGGTGAGCTCAGACTAGTTTGGAAATTGACTCACAGTTCAGCACAGCTGGTGAATTTCTTTTAGGAGAGGTCCAAACTAGAACACGAGCGGGTTAGAATTAAGGTGCCTCAGCAGCCCGAGAGGCTCAGGTCTGGCTCAGCCAGGGTTACAAATTGTCAGGATTGAGGTGCATTGTCAGAGCAGCGTGAGTGGTCCAGGACTGTCTGCATGGGGTGGCCACTTGCAATTCCCCATCCCACTGGTCAAACTCCCTTGTAATTGCCCTGCTGTGTCACACAACAGTATCACGAGGAGTTATCAGGCTAGCATTGCCACAGTAACTCCCAGGACACTTCAATAAGCTGAGCTGGCCCTGGTTCATCCTAAGAGCCTCATGCTGTCCTGGGGACAAAGTACACTAAAACACTCCAAAACCCACACAACACAACACAAGTGGAGCTCATTGCAGGATACCCTTCGCTCCAGCAGCTCAGAGCGGACACAGTGCAAGGAGGCACTTTGCATCTCAAACACCACCCTGACAGGGTTTCTCAAACTGCACAACACAGGACTCAAACAGCACCACCCTGTGGAGAGCAAGGTAGATGATGGAAGATAAACAAGAACAAAGAAACTTCCAGTAGAAGAGCAGAAAGAGCAAGAATTCAACCACAGAGCAAAAAACTAAGCATTCCAAACAATACGGCAGAACTGCAGGGAAACCTGGTAAGTGCCTAACTGTGAGCTCAGCTGCCGCTGCCTGCTGTCACTAGGCAAGGCCAGGGGGTTCAGACAGGGGGCTCACTCTGCCAGGGAGACGCCCCTAGGAATGCCAAGCATGGGTGCTTTACAGACATGAACCAATAAAGCCCACAGCCTCCCTGTGAGGTGGGTCAGGGTTATTTGTCCCATTTCACAGATGGTGAAACTGAGGCACAGAGCAGCAAAGTGACTTGTCCAAGATCAGTGGCAGGAACGGAAGCCAGGGGATGCGGAGCTTGCAGCTCCTGGAGAGCAGAAGGCCAGGCTCCCCTTCAGCCCTCAGCACATTCCCAGCGGCTCAGGCCTTTCCGAGCACCGCACCGGGCGCACATTCAACTCGCAAACTGCTAATGTGTGTCCTCAACAGGCTTCTGTGTCCATGGAAACCCAGGGCAGGGGAGGCGGGATTAGTGGGGCCGGCTGGCCCCAGCAGCCAAGTTCATGTGGCCAAGCACTAAGTGTGAGTGGCAGCCCTTGGCGGGCGGCTATTGTTGTGGCTGGCTGTTGGGTGCCTCTCTGGGCAGAGCCCCCGCTGGGATCCCTGCCACTCCCTGGCCCATTCTCCTGAGCCTTTCTTCTCCGGTCCGCGCTGGCTTTGCCAACGCCGAGTTAGGCCTGAACAAAAGAGGCTGCTGGGGACAGCTTCTCTTGGGGCCTGATTACCATGGTAACCCTGGCCCCTCCAATCCCAGCTGCTGGATCAGATTAGTGCGAGCTCTAATGCTCTTCGGCAAAGCGCTCAGCACAGACACAAAGACACCCTGCTGCGGCGAGTCTCACCAGGAGCCGGCCTCGCAGGCCTGTGTGAGAGAGGGCCACCTGCACCCCCCCGCCCCGGAGACACACACAAAACGGCCTTTCAGTGCCACCTCGCTCCCCCTGCGGTGCCACCTGGGCGCACAGCGCTGGTGCAATGCTACACCTCATACCACGGCATACCCAGCACAGCAGCCCCCATCTATGACCATACCCCACGACCGGCCTCCAAAAGCCCCATCCCCCCAGATGAGGGGCTGCCCAACACCCCCACCCACCCATATTCCAACATAAGCTTGCCCAAAGAGGGAAGTAGCAATGAGCGACCCCCCTCTCTTCTCATCAAAGGGGAGGGATGCACAAATCTCCCCCAATCTCACAAAAATAAGTGGAGGAGGAGGAGGAGGAAGGGGAGCACAGAACCTCCCCAGAGCTCCCCCCCCAACGGGGTCATTTAGAGGACAGAGCCACCCCGATTTCTGCCAATTTCACAGAGAGAGTGTTGGGCTGAACAGGAGCAGAGTTACCCCAGATTTCCCTCGCTCATGCACACAACCAGCAAAACTAAAACAAACAAGCACAGCCCAGAGAGGGCTTTGCTGCCTTATTCTCTGTAAAACAAAATCCTGTTGAAATTCAAACCCCCTCCGCCCCAACAAAAAGCATTGCAGTGCACAAATGAAGCTGCGAATGTATTCTACTCCCTTCACAAAAACTACCCATTATAAAAATGTTATAGTTAAGAATTTCAAGTCTGGTAGCAAATTCTCAGTTAAGGCTCCAACACCAACTTGAATCCTGTCCCTGCCCCCACTCCATACACAGGCCAGAGACCACACCCCCACCACCCTATTGCCATATCAACTCTGCCCGCCCTCTTGTGCATATGCATTAGGATAAATTATTTCATTCTGTAATCCTGCCCATGGACCACATGGCTGGGCGGAACCCATCTTGGGCGGGGGTCTCAACTCTCTATTGAGGAGATGTGAGAAAGGGTTGGAGAGGGGGGTGTTTCAGTGTACGCATGAGGGAGAGAAAGGATCTCCACTCTGTATGCTGAGGATAGGTAGGGATGTGAAGAGGGGACTGGGGACAGGGTG